GTAGCTTCAGGCAGCAGGTTTTTGGGTCTTATTTTCTGATACTTTGGCATCTCACCTCTGATTGGCTGATAGCATCGTAACTTGCAACGCTGATGTTTTATCTCCACAAATAACACAAGCCTGGAGGAGTTCTGCAGTGAGATGGAGTTGCTAATGCTAACGGCTAGCATCTATGCACTGAGACACCCTCTGCTGACTCCTGGATGCTAAACCAACAACAGCCTTCCCCATCACGAGTCACGATGGGTGAGCCCATGAATGTTAAGTGACAGTAAGACGTAGATCTGTCAGCATTTTCTAATCTTAATTTCACTGTCTATTTTCAATCAGAATCTAATGCAGGAGATAGGTGTAGGAGACTATTTTCATGTTCCACTTCCATGAAAAACTCAAAGCGACCGATTATAATCAGAAATAATCATTAAAAAATGTTTTTTTAGTGATCCACACTTTAAAACAATGTTATGGGAAGGGACCCAAGTCACATCAATACAGCTAAATGTTACCGCTATTTACTTCTGCAAATAACTATCTAATTCAATGTGAATAACCATGTAATATGAAACGAGGCATGATGCAAAGGTTTATAAAACACTATGAATCTTTAGAGAATGGAGTTGTTTTAAGATGGCAGCAACACTTTTGATCTTAGTCTTGCACTGACTAGCTGTTAGCTCGTCACTCTGGAGTGTTAAAGGTGCATGAAGTAGGAATGATATCCTGTGGTCAAATTTGGATACTGCAGTCCATATATCAAAACACAATTTAATGTAACCTTCATTCCAACTTGATTGAGACGTTAGACTTTGTTGTGATTCTTTCACTGTAAAGTTATTACTTACTGCATTTTTGAACAATTTCTCCAAAGCTGAAATTTCCACAGAATTCTTTAAAATAGTTCTTTATATATAGAGATAATAGTTTTTCTCTCATATTTGATGTCTCTTATTTTCAAAAGCCCACAGCCACAATCAAAGTAGTTTGGTTTACGTATAAAGACGGTATTTAAAGGGGCATTATGGAAGTTTGACAGCCAAAACATGTATAGAAATAATAAATTTCTTCTTCATTCTCCTACAATGCCCTGGTCCTGTAGAATGAGCCCTGGCATTTTTACTGTGATTGCCTGTTTTTCTCCAAAATCACAGAAAAAGAGAGCTGCTCCGGTCGAGCAGGCTGCTTCATGCGTGTTCACGCTCAGGCATAGCCCGTAGCATTTGCTATCAGTAGCTTTAGCAGCAGAGAGGGAGGTAGTGCCAACTCAGCGACTTTGTCGCTGTTCCTAACGCCTAGTGACGAACCTAGCTACATTTCTGAGGACCCTTAGCTACTTTCTTCTAGTTATTTCCTGCAACTTAGTAACAAAATAGCCATTTTCGCTCCGAACCTTTCTTTGAACGTTGTTTCAGCTGTCATCTAGGATATAAATGTTACAGATACAAATTACATCACTGGTGCTTTAGCTCACCTGGTTAGACGTCGGACTTCCGTACAGAAGACCCGTGTTTGATTCTGAATGTGAACCTAGTTTACTTAGAGTTTCTTTTTTACATTAATGGTACATTTTTTTACAGTAAGATGCCCAAATTTTTATTTGAGACTCGCCGAACGGGCATTGAATTCACAGATAAAAAAGATGTGGGTTCAACTTTCCTTTTGGAACTATTTTTCAAGCAAGGGAAGGGAATGATCTGAGCATGCAGGAGGACTGACCCATCTTAAACCTTTGTCGGCTGTGCTGAAGAGAAAGGTACAGAACCAAATTATTTAATTAATTAGCTGCGCGTTCTCCTGTCCTCTGTCCTCCGGGCCACACACACACACACACACACACACACACACAAACACACACACACACGGGACTGTCTCAGCTGTTATTTTCGTTAAGGAGTGTGCACGTACAGCATACGCGCCTCGTGCACAAGCCTCCTATTGAAGCTGCCGTTATGCTTTTGGCCTGAGGGGGCAATCGCGAGCATAAAAATTCAAAACTCCGTAAAGTCCCTTTAAATTCAGGAAGCAAAATGGCGGCGCAAAGGGAACGGTAATATCTGTTTTAAAATGTGAGCAAGTGAGGGGAAGAAAAATACTAGCAACTAAATGTTCACGTTGACAAGTTATTGCAGGAAAGTCATAATTATAATTGTTAGAAGGATTAAACAAGAAATTATTTTCTGAACTTTATGTATGAAGCAGAAACCTAAAAGGACACACTTAACACTTACAGTTGTGGTCAGAGGTTTACATACACTTGTAAAAAATATAATATAATGGCTCTACTGAGTGTCCCGTTATTTCTAAAACTCAGATTTTTCTCTGATAGAGTGATTGGAACAGATACTTCTTTGTCACAAAAACCATTCATGAAGTTTGGTTCTTTAATGTCTTTATTATGAGTTAACAGAGAAAAGTGATCACATTTGCTGGGTCACAAATATACATACAGCAGTGCTAATATTTGGTTACATGTCCCTTAGCCATTTTCACTTCAATTAGGCGCTTTTGGTAGCCATCCACAAGCTTCTGGTTGAATCTTTGACCACTCCTCTTGACAGAATTGGTGAAGTTCAGTTAAATTTGATGGCTTTCTGACATGGACTTGTTTCTTCAGCACTGTCCACATGTTTTCAATGGGGTTTAAGTCAGGACTTTGGGAAGGCCATTCTAAAACCCTTATTCTAGCCTGATTTAGCCATTCCTTTACCACTTTTGATGTGTGTTTGGGGTCATTGTCCTGTTGGAACACCCAACTGTGCCCAAGACCCAACCTTCGTGCTGATGATTTTAGGTTATGTTGAAGAATGTGAAGGTAATCCTCCTTCTTCATCATCCCATTTACTCTCTGTAAAGCACCAGTTCCATTGGCAGCAAAACAGCCCCACAGCATAATATTCCCACCACCATGCTTGACTGTAGGCATGGTGTTCTTGGGGTTAAAGGCCTCACCTTTTCTCCTCCAAACATATTGCTGGGCATTGTGGCCAAAAAGCTCGATTTTTGTTTCGTCTGACCACAGAACTTTGCTCCAGAAGGTCTTATCTTTGTCCATGTGATCAGCAGCAAACTTCAGTCGAGTCTTAAGGTGCCGCTTTTGGAGCAAGGACTTCCTTCTTGCACGGCAGCCTCTCAGTCCATGGAGGTGCAAAACACGTTTGACTGTGGACAATGACACCTGTGTTCCAGCAGCTTCTAATTCTTGGCAGATCTGCTTTTTGGTGATTCTTGGTTCACTCTTTACCCTCCTGACCAATTTTCTCTCAGCAGCAGGTGATAGCTTGCGTTTTCTTCCTGATCTTGGCAGTGATGAAACAGTGCCATGCACCTTATACTTACAAACAATTGTTTGCACTGTTGCTCTTGGGACCTGCAGCTGCTTTGAAATGGCCCCAAGTGACTTTCCTGACTTGTTCAAGTCAATAATTTGCTTTTTCAGATCCATGCTGAGCTCCTTTGACTTTCCCATTGTAGCGTTTGTGGGCGTTTGTATCCAATGAGCCCTATTTACCTGGCCTAGGAGAAGTCACCTGCTGTAGTCACTCATAATCACTCACAAGAAGTTAAGAGGCCATGCTATGAAGCTCAGTTCACTGACACGTTTCTAAGTCACCAAAATTGCTAGTTCATGTTGCTGTATGTATATTTGTAACCCAGCAAATGTGATCACTTTTCTCTGTTAACCCATAATAAAGACACTAAAGAACCAAACTTCATGAATGCTTTTTGTGACAAAGAAGTATCTGTTCCAATCACTCTATCAGAGAAATATCAGAGTTTTAGAAATAACGGGACACTCAGTAGAGCCATTATATTATATTTTTTACAAGTGTATGTAAACCTCTGACCACAACTGTAGCTGGCGCTACACAGTGGATGCCATAAGTTTCCAGTTATCACAAGCAGCAGATACAACTGGGCAGCTGTGAGGAGTGAATGTTCTCGTGTGAGACACTCGACACGCCTGCAGTGGAAGGCGAAAAGGAAAGTCATCTGTTGCCCTCTAGTAAGTAGATGGAGAGGACACGTGCGCATGGGCTGCAGGCTGTGTTTAAATGTTAAAAACCAACCGGATCCTAAACAGCAGCTGTAAATCATTTCACTAACTAACAGAGAAGGCTGCTCATTCTTTAACTTAGAAGTAGCACTGGTAATATGACCGACTGTTTTAAAGAAGATAATTAGGTTTTGCAGCTAAGTTTGATTCTTTAGTGTAGAATCAGGCAAATGGGTTACCAAAAACCTGGAAACAGCAAATAAAGATCATTCAGCTAGAATCCTTTATCAGATCAAACACACAAATTTATTACATGCTTTGAAATGTGGGTCATTATACTTACTTTTTACTTGTTAATGCACAATTACCCTATGAACTTCAATCGTCAACTTCCCTACTGTTCAATTCAATTCAAGTTTATTTATATGGCGCCAAATCACGACAAGAGTCATCTCAAGGCACTTCACATAATAAACATTCCAATACAGGTCGGTTCATTAAGCCAATCAGAAAAGTTCCTATATAAGGAACCCTGCAATTTGCATCAAGTCATTGACTGATTGTGCGTGGTTGTGCATGAAACATTAACACAAGCAAACTCCCCACAAAGAAACCATCAGCACTGTGGAGAAAGGGTGTGGTCAGATCAGCCAAAAACAAACGCTCACTTAGCTTGTTTGGTTGTTGTTGTTTACCCTCTGTTCTAAAGGTGTGCATTTAGACTACAGACACACACATATGCATGCTTTTCAGGAGGTTATTGTAAAATCCGTCAGGGGAGTTCAAAAGAATGGACCCAGAAACGGATTTCACGTGGATGAAATTAAGCACGTGTTGCATTTACGTGTATTCAGAAATGTCTGCACAAAGTCCTACAGTTTCCTAGCGTCGATTTATGTTTCAGCTATTTTCAGTCCAGCCAAATGTGACAAAGCATTGGTTTGATGTAATTTTAGCAGGATGCATTACACTACAGAGGGGAATGTGTCCCCCAGCATGTAATACTCACAAGGCTTTGTGTTTGTTCTCAGCGAGGATCTGGTCATTTGGCTTCAGCCCGAACCTTTTAGGAAAAACACACAAATAAACACTACTGGTGACACACACATCAACAAGTGAAAACGCGTGAGCTGTTTGACTTACTTGTCAAGGAAGTCTTTGTCCACAACAGCTGAAATGTCAAGCAAGGGGTTTCCCATCCCAAAGAGTGTGTTTTCACTGTGAGGAGACAAAAACAGATTGTTCTGTAGACTCCCACTCAGCTGCTCAACGTGAACAGAGGAAACGAGCGATCTGCTGTGAAACAGGAAATCATCTGGTGGTGATTTGTTGACCCAAATGACTGACTTCAGTCGAGGTGACCCCCTGTTTCAAAAGGGGCTCAGTTTACCCAAGATTCTTTGTGATCAAAAAGTCAACAGTGCATGAGATGTTAAAAGGTACAGAAGGATGTGTATGTATTTATCAGAGAAATTAAATCATCACTGTGTTACTTTCATATAAAGGTATGTGTCGTACATCTACATAAGTGTAATAAAATGTTTTTAAATGTAGATTGCTGTGTCAACAATGGAAATTTTGATTTTCTTGCGCAACCTTTATCTGGAAATTTGAAGCTATAAGATACCACCGTGGGCAAAGTCTGCCCTGACAGTCTTAATAACAAGTTTGCCAGCAAAAAAATATACAACAAATTTAGTCTGATTAAACTACATGTTTTAAATAATTGTTCTTCCAATCAGCAGTTTGGCTTTGCCTTATTAGTTTAAACCTGATTTTTAAATCAAATAATTTAACAAAAGATAATAAAGTGAGCACATTTGTGTCCAAACGTAACCAATAACATCTGAACTGCTCCCCGCGGACCGTGTCACGGTTTGGATCTCACCTTGGTGTTGGCATGATGTCAGAAATCTCACCAGATGACTAAACGACCAGCGGCTTTCTCCTTCTGTCAAAGCAACGTGCTTTTTGACTCCAGGAACTGTAGTAGAACTTTGGCCAACTCCAACACGTTGGTGGGAGAAATGGGAGGGGTTTACTGTCTCCGGGGTTTGTGATTGGCTACACATTTTCCAACTACAGAAAGGCATTCTATGCTGCATTTGTGGCCAATGGGAGAAATGAGACGTAAAAAGATGGACCCTGTTACACTATCAACACCACTTCCAGCAGCATTTATGTGTAATGATGTAATAGCATCTGTGTTGTTTTTAAATTTAAATAAATATGTTGTGCTTGTTTACAATAAAAGTCGTGTTCTTGCAGAGTTATGCGTATAAAATATACTTATTAAAGAAATATTCACTGCACAAAAACATAAATGTGTATTTTGGAAGCATTTCTGCAATAGGGGCTTAAGCATTTTTTTCAGTTTTTTGTCATTACCGTACGTAACCCTTTATTTTGTACTATAGTAAAATGAAATTTTTATCTAGTCACTCAACCTATAAAATGTGTGCATAATCGGAGGTGTAGCCTACTTTAAGACAAATCATATCGCCATTTCAGTAGACATTTTACCAAGCTCTCTTTTTTGCCTTTGTTTAAAAACGTTTTTATATTTACTAATTGCCCGTTCATTATGGACCCCTGATCCTGTATTTTATTTTGAAAAATGTTATATCTATGTCGTAGTTTTCCTGCTACAACTGAACGCAACAAAGTTTTAGTTTGCTTTGTTGTCAAAATATATATTATTCATCAGACAAATAAACGTTGAAGTTGACAGTATATACAACTGTTAAAGCCTTTTACGATTAAGATAATATACAGTAAAATCTTGTTATTGCAACATTTATTTTAATGTATACTTCTTTTGCATTAATGACTGACCGCCACGCTGTTTTTTAATTGTTACATTAATAAACGTAAACAATTTTTGCTGCAGTATAAACATTTAATAGCTATTTACAACTTAGCGGGCGACACATTTTATTTCCAGTCTTTTAATGTTGACACAAGTTTCATTATTTATATTAATACAAGTTCGGCATTAAAAGTCAGCCATTGCTTGTCACCCTTACACCATCTTTTATAAAACGGCAGCTAGAGGTCGGATAAGTCGATATTTGCATCAGTTCTGGTCATGTGATGAACCTATAGCGTTTTGCTAGCTGTGGTTTATTATCGTGACGAAGCAGAACGTTTATGAACGCGGTTTAAGCTGAATGCGGTGATGATGTAACGTTCAAATGCTCGAGTGTCTCATCACCCTGCACCTCCAGCTGACCGTTAACACAACACCGCAGATGTTCGCTTCATTAACCGCTAGCTACACATGCTAGCTGCGTGTGCCAACTTAGCTTAAAATCACGGTTCTATTTTGTTACCTTAACGTCGTTTTCTTTCCCTTCGATGTGTTTGGTTCTTTGTTGGACATTGTTCTTCAGATCTACGACGAGTCTTGAGGTTGTTGAACCTTTAAAATGTTTTTTTTTCCCTGACAGAGAAGAGTAGCAGGAAGCAGCTGCTTCCTTTTCCTTCAAATGATGCTAAAGAAATTGGTCAGCCGCATGCACCCTAGGGGGAAAATTAGTTTTGGCAGGGATCCATGGGAGTTTATTACTTTGACCTAGATGATAAAGTGGCTTACACCGAGACTGGATGTCTCGTTTTCACATCTGGATTATTAACATCAGGTTCTGCTGGTTCCCTACTGGTGACTCCTCCAGCAGATGTTTGCATGTGTTCATGGAGAAGAATCTCAGATCAGCTTTGCACCACAGGACCTGACCACTATTACTTGTTTGGATCAGATTTAGCTGGTAATCTGCGGTTTTATTGCAAACCAGTGATTTCTGCAAGGTCAGGTAATGCTATTTGAGTAAATTCACCCTTTCTTGTTTGTAAAGCATTTTACTGCAATATGAACTCAAGTGCGGCCAGCATTTATAAAATACTATATGCAAACCAAGTGCTAGTGCAGATCCATATTTTATTGTAGGTGGCACACAAGTGAACTATGTAGACAAGAGGAGGCAGAGCTGTAAGTTTATCTGGGCTTTAGGCAGATTGTCATAACAAATAAAAACTTTGGTTGGGTACATTTACTTGAGAGAGAATAAAAGCAACTTTTAGGGCAATTTGAACAAATCCAGCATTTTCTGTACAAGAGTTTGTACAAAACATACACACACCTCCAAGTGTTAAAAATGCTTTATTACAAAAACTGTGAACAATGCTTAAGCAGAATTATGTTCCAACACGTTTAAACCAACCAAGCTGCATATGAGCCGCGGATTGCCGACCCCTGAGCTAGGGCATGTGCGGAGGACACACACACACACACACACACACAAGCAAAATGCATAGAGCTTTGCATAGAGAATAATGTGATTATTTAGAAGTCCTAAACCAGGCCCAGCTTTCAAAATAAACCTTCAACAAAAATTGTTTGAACAAATTACCACTAGGGCAATTCGTATGAATGATATTAACGTTGTAGAATTTATTTAATTAGAAATAAACTTTATGGCAAGGCACATAAATTGGCATTAGGTATTAAAATGATACTTACACACACATTAAAAATAAAGAATCTTCAATTGTCACAAAAAAGGCCGGTTGTGTTTAGTGTTGAGACATACCAACATTCATATCAAAGTTCTGCTCTTTCCCTCGATTATCTAGAAGAGTGCTATTAATAAGTAAAACATGAAATGTGCACTAAAATACACATTATGTGTTGTGTTTACATAAGAACATCTGACATTATTGGTGTTCTGTTGGCTTGTTGAGGGAAAAAGGAGTAAAGAAAATTGCTTTTAAGCTTAAAAGTGAAGGACAATGCTGTTATTGTGCACTGTCTCAACACAGCAGTAACACTCACCTTGAATGAACAGTTATTTAGCTCCTTAAAAACCCTTCTAAAATATGCATTATGCAATATGCAGTATATGTCTGGCAGTACTAAGGACTGCTACAACTCCTTTACAGTGTTTCTCTTTCACTCATTATGATGCAGGATATTGTAAACCA